TGGGGGGGGGGGGGGGACACCATCTACGCGCACCACGTGCTGACGATAACACCGACTAAACAACTTAACCAAATAAAACGCATTAACCTATAATAGTCTTGCGTTAACGACTATTACGACATAAATCCCTGATAAAACAATAAATACATGCTTAACAATGAAGGAAGAGTGGGGGTGGGGGGGAAACCACTTACCTACACATACTGCATCAGCTTCTACCACGGCAGAGTGAGGGCTCTTCCACCCCCAGTGTGGCGGTTTTATATCCTCAGTAGGACCTGCCTTTAGGCGTCCGTTAATAGCGCCTTTACAAAATTCAATCAGACAAGATGCCGTTTAAAAGTGATATTTATTTTTGTTGTTACAGTTTTTTTTTTAAATTATCATTATTAATTTAATTCACTTTTTTTTTCTAAATTGTACCCGCTGAAGTTGGAGTAGTATACTTTATATTACAAGTTTGTAATATAAACAATTTTTATTGGCTCATCAAGAGTTGTATATTTTTAAAGCTGTATTTGGTTGTATACTCGGACAGGTTTTGGACCTTTAAAAGCAAGAATCATATCACTGTATCATACTTTATTTGACTTTTTACTTTATTTTATATTTATTTTTTTGTATTGTTTTCTAGCAGCTAATGTAATACAGTAAATATGTAAAATATTGTAAATAGATAAATAGGTTATTATTATGTGATTCTGTGGAGAGGGGCGAGGGTGGGATATTTGACCCCTGATACACATTGGCTTTTAAGAATAGCACAGAGATAGAACAGAGGGGGTTCGTTATTTTAATTCTCAAAATGCTATTACTAATGCTGAGATTATAAAAATATAATTGAACCATGCAGAGATAATTGGGATGGGCTCTTGTCAGTGTGTACAACAGCTGCCATATTTGTAATACTGAGTCACAGACCTTTGTTCTCACACAATCTGAGGGTCTTCTCTCATCTCCCCTCCCTAAGAACCACTGGATGTGCCAGCGCCAGGCAGCTGTTGTGTGGACCTCCTGAGCCCATGGGAACTGTGAGATTAAGCACTTATGAGGTAGGTAAATTGTGATAGAAATAAATGTAATAAATGTAGTTGTTACAAAAGACAAAAATTCACAGAAGATGAAATCTGTAACACTTTACAATAAGGTTTCATTTGTAAACATTAGTTAACCACATTAGTTAACACGATAACTATGAATGAACAATATTCAACTATATAAACTAATTGTCTGAACTGAACTCACTTCATTAGCCTACCACTTTACTGTGAGGAGCAACTCTGTGCTTAAATGAGAGGGAGAGGGAGAAAGAGGGAGAGAGATGGAGAGGGAGGAGTGTTGTCATGTAGTATGATCCACAGAGCAAAAAGTCTGGTCGCCCACAACTGCTTTGGAAAGAAGGGGAATCTAGTGAGAGGGAGGAGAGGAGCGGGAGAGGAGAGAAAGAAAGTGACAGGAAGCCACCTCATGAAACACTGACAGCGGGTCAAAGACAGAGAAGAGAAGAAAGAGTGTTTCCAGAACACACCATAACCATACGGTGATCTTAAAAGTGGAAAAGTCAGCAGAAAAGAGGTGATCTGTTACTTCAGAAAAGGAAAGTGTAAACTAAAAGGAAACGTTCCCTGAAAAAGTTAGAGGTGAGTCTGTTGTCTCTTTTTTCTCTGTCCTTCTGTTATTTATTATGTGTTTGTGTCAAGTTAGATCACATTGAATTGATGAGTTCTGCAGAATTCATATACTATTTCTGTCTGATGCATTCATAAGTTGCCATATATTTCTTCAGTGTGTGGGTGTGTGTTGAGTGACACTCAAAACGGGGACAGGGGGAGGAGAGAAAAAGAGAGCCAGGGTGGGTGAGGGGTATGGGGGTTTGAGGGGCTTTGAAAATGGGGAGAAAAGAGAAAATGAGAGAAGAGGGAGATTCACAGCAACGTCATGATGATATTTTCAGAGAAATGGGTCATTCCCTCCTCTCCAGTTACAGGACCTTTCAAAACTTTCAAATAGTTTTTGATCTCCATTTTGAATGTACTTCTGTCTTCTCCAAAATCCAGTTCTTTATAACTTGCTGTTTTAGATGGTGTTTTTCTTAGACGTTTTAGAGTACCTCAACAATTCAATCTATTAACAATTTATCCCCAGGTAGTGATCATTTAATTCAGTCAAGCAGATGTGTTCATCCTTTTATTTAATTGTACATACATTTGCGTGAGGATCCAGTGTGATCCACAGAGATGGGTTATGAAGATTAAACCCTTCTGGAGACTGTTAGGTTAACCTCACACAAAAGGCTGAATGCAAACAGGCAACAGTGGAAAAAATGAAAACACTGTTATCACATGTCACCCTCATGTTGCTTTAAACCCACATAACTTTGTCTTCTTTGGAACAAAAAAGGAGAACTTTTGATGAATGTAGTTGATTTTTTCCCCCCATGCAGTTGTGAATGCAGACGAAATTGTGTAATCTCCTAAACTGATGTAAAAGCATCATAAAAGTATAGAAAATTGGCTTGTGCAATACATTTTCTATGTGTCTTCTGAATTCATGTTTTGAGTGAAAAACAGACTGAAATTTAAATATTAATTTACTGAAAATCTTCCCATTTAGTATTCACCCTATCTATTTTCTAAACGCATCGTATTGAACGATTTATCCATGGATGTTTAATTTTTTATTATTTATTTATTTGCAAATTTTTAATTACAATGTCATATCTGAATCTTTCGGGGAAATGACAGATTTCTCTCTGGTGAAATATGTCGGATTTCTCCAGTCGCTGAGTCTGCATAAAACCCGCCTTTTTCTTACAGTTGACCAAAAACCTGTATTTACATCTGTCTTCATTCAATTAACAAACAATGGATAGAACCAAGTCCCTGTCCTATATATTTTTTCTTTTTTCATAATCTGTTCCACTCTGATGTATGTCACAATATGGAAGAAAAGACCTGTTATTTCTTCCATTATATATCAACTTTAAGAACTGGATCAGTCTGATTTATGAACGATTTATTCAGATGTTTTTTTTTTTTTAATAACTAAATTTAATTCCAAAGATCTAACTTAAAATAATTTACGTATGAATCATATGAATCACTTTTATGATTCTTTTTATGATGCTTTTGCCTCCTTTTGGAAGCTTGAAAGCTTAATTCTCTGTTCAACAAACCACATTTTTCAAAACATTTGGTCTTTCACAAAACAAAATCGAATAGATTTAGAATAACAAAAGGATAAGAAATTAAAGACAGAATTTTCATTTTTGGGTGAACTGTCCCTTTAAACTAGTCCCTGCTCATATTCTCTGAGAGCACAAGACTGTCTGGAGGTAGAGGAACAGGGGGGAACAGGAAGTGAGGTTAAAGTTCAAATATAAAGTGATTTACTCTACCCATGACCCCTGCAATGGGAAAAGGCGATAGGAAGAGACAGTGTGGGATAATGCACTGAGGCTGCATGGACACTCTAAGAGGGAGAGAGAGAGAGAGAGTAGAAAAGACAAATAACAGCTTGTTCATGCACTTCCCTTCTGTCATCTTGTTCTCTCTCCATGTCTTGTGACAAAATGTGGTTTATTGCATTTATAGAAACAAATGGCCACAGGCATGTTGTGCTGTCAATGGCGTGTGTTTCTGGCATGTGTGTGTTCAGGGCAGCTCAAACATGTTCCTGTGTGGGCCACATGGGCTTGTATTTGCAAGCATTTGTGTCAAAGAGCTCATGAACATGTGGTTTAAGAAGAGAAGTGTATTTGTGTGTGTGTGTGTGTGTGTGTGTGTGTTTGAGTATGTGTTTGTGTTGGTGAACTTTCACCCCTGTTTATTTTGGGATGGCTCAAATGTCAAAGCCCAGAGCTCTGGATCAAGGCAGATAGCAGTGGAGAGTATTAAGCACTATCTGTCTGACTGTAACCCACTTCAACACTTACATCTGCTTTGAGCCATTTCATTTTTTACACTTTAACTAGTCAGCAACACATTTTTCATCCAGAAAGCTCTTTTATCCTCTGTAAACAAACTTGAATATAACTACCCTCCTTTCTTCCAGAACTAGACTTCAAGACCATTAAACTTGTTTGTTGGAGCCATGCACTTCCCGACGCAGTTCGTAAACTGTAGTTTAAATAGAAGAAAGCTGGTAAAACACAAGGCCCTCCCTGCATGCTATTAGACACAGTAGGCTATGCGATTCAGCTCTGTCACACATATCTGACTATTGTCTGCCTGTTAAGACAAGCTAGAAATAAATTCCAGCCATTTGTCCCTCTGGAATGTCGAATGGAGAGTACTAGCCCAACTACTGACCTCTATTTCTCACAGCTAAACGAAGAAAAAAACTACTAGTAATTTTGTTCTAAAGATGCATCAGTAACTGTTTTTTGTTTGTTGAGCTATTTGATTCACCAGGCATTTTGGACTTATACTGACACCTAGTGGTGTGGGTGCAGAATCACGCAAAAACAAATGTTTTTGTTTATTCAATGCCACTGTAGAAATTTGATATTCATTAGTCAGCAAGGATAAATTTAATCCACAAATGAAAGTATCCAATAACAGGGGGTTATTGAGGTGAAGTGAGTAGCATTTAGCTTGTCATGTGATCTCAACATGGCGGCTTCTACGAGGCGACCTGCCCTATGTAGCTTAAAACACTGTGGTCATCTCATGTGAATATAGTTGATTTTAAACGTTTTTCAAAGGTACTATTAGCTACTTTTTCTGTAAAACTGTTTTAATGAGGAAAATTAGTACACCTTTAATGCCTTAAAATGTTGTTTATCATATCTCTATACCAGACTCCATCATGTCAACGCTCTCGGCAGAGACAGGCCCTGAGGATGCCAACAATCAGAGCTTCTGGATGGTAAGTGAGAGGGGGAGGAAGAACAGCAATGACTCAGACATGGTGATGAACCTCTAGAAAATACCATCCGCTCCTGCTTTGTTATGTATGTGTTAGCAGACATGCACGTGGGCGATGTAGCTTGACTTGGTTTTAACACCTAAACAGTTGGAGCAACAACAGATGACAAGATTTGTTTGGACATTAAAGTGGAAAGCTTCACAAAAGCTTCTGAACAATCTACATTAACCAAATGAAGATTAATATTCAAGTGAAGTCTATTTTACTTCTTTGAGACTACTGCAGCATGTTTTATGGTTCTTTAAACTTTAGTCTGAGTCTGTAAATTTCATCCATCGTGCCTCCACCCATTTTAATTAGCTCAGCTTTTGTCTCTCAG